AAAAAAAAAAAAAGATAAATCTGTCAGTCAACAACACTGAAAAGTTAAGGAAAAACTAGAAATAATCTACAACATTCAGAAAGTAAAAATAGAAAAGCAGAAGAGTGGTAAATTTTTGATGACATATAAAAATTATCTCTTCTTTTTAAGTAGCGAATTAGACAAGCAAAATTGCTTAGTATACGAAAAAAAAAATTGTTTTGAAAAGCATAATCGAAAAAAGGGGAAGTAAATGTGGTAAAATAAAAAAAGCAGTACAGATATCTCAGCTCCTAAAACGAACTTAATAGAACAATCTCCTTTTCTAGTTTTTGCTACCCCTCACTTCACTTTATCAACATAAGTGTTTCAAATTAGTTGATAAGTGTCGAAAACATGTATGAATAAAAACAAGTGAAAAAAAAAAAAAGGAAAAAGAACCAGCAGGCTAACCTTTGGTGACATCCGCCTCCATAGCAGCCGTTGAAGTTTGTTGCATATTCACTGGTGACGAGAGAGATCCATGCGGAACAGTTTTTGTCGGCATCGAATCCGTACGACCGTCCGTTTCGGCGGCCATTCACATATGTGTAACGTCTGCTCTTTGTTTGTTTGTATATCTATCTATCTACCTATGTATGTCTATCTACCTATCTATCTATATATCCTCAAATAAGACTGAATTAATAGTAGTAAATTAAAAACAGAAAACGAACAACGAGAAAAATGGAAGTAAAATCACAAAAGAGCAGTATTTTAACAAACGGTCGATGCAAATATTATTTTCGCCAATGATGAGTTACATTTTATGTTCCTTCTTTTAAAATTTCCAGAATTCGTTATCCAGATTTACTCCAGGGAGGGAAGGTACTTTTTGGAAAGTAGGCACAAAAAATCTTTTTCCGAATTTTACCACGAGTACGTTGTGTGTGCACTCGTCAGTTATGAACATTTCCAAAAAAACGAACAGTTGTTTTCATAACAAATAATTACATTACTTTAACATAACTACATAAACTGAAACTGGGAGAATATTGTTCTATCGATGTAAAACCATTTATTCCAAACAGAAAGCTAGCTGATAAAGCAGTGAAACAATGAACGGCTACTACTGAGCTGTTGTTGCTACTATAAGTACTACTGCTACTGCACAGGCTATAACTGATGATAGCGACAGTGGCTGTACAGCAACAGCAGAAGAAATAAGTAACCACAGCCACCATCATTATCAACGGGACCAACAAGAACAGCAACAACGGCAGCGAGGACCAGAACAAAGATGACGACAACGACAGCAAAAACATGAAGGAACAGCACCGACAAAGAGCATGTGCAAAATCCTCAAGCAGTGCATGCAAAGCTTCGTTGGCATATTATACGCGCACAATCAATAAATACAAGCGTTTTCAATTTCCGTTCTCTGATCCTCCACTTTTCTCGTGCTATTTTGACGGTCCCATAAGTTGAAAAACTTCCTACGGGATGAGTCGCACTAAGTGATTAGTAATTCTGTGGCGTTCAAAACTAAACTGGTAACATGCGCAAACGCAAAAGGCTATAATAGGGGACGGTTAGGGGAATGGAAGAGACGAGGAAACAAAAAAACCCGAACAACGCAACCTATATTACCCTACACACATATCTAAACACAGACGCACATAAAGCGGTAAATTGATCAATGAAACAAAAAGGTTTGTTCTCTTTTTTCCTTCATTTTTCTTCTTTCCTTTCTTTTTTCCTCTTTTCTTCCAAACAGATGACAGCAGCAGCCAGGCAGCAACATAGTTGTTGATGTTTTTCTCGCGATAGACGGACAAATAAAGATGCACAGAGCATACGCGCATATATGTATACACATGTATCGGCGAAGGCAATTCAAGCTCCAAGCCCCCGGTCTTCCACCGACAACGACGACGACAACATGTAGCTTGTGACGAATGCTTTTTTACTGCGACCGACGAAGGTGGTGATGCTTGTTACCAACGCTCTATTGCGGTTTTTTGTCGGCTTGTTGTTGCCTGGTCGGTTGATGCTGATCGACTTCGTTGGTTCAATGGATGGAAGCCCCAAAACTAGTTCTTCTTTAGGATTCGGGGAAAGGGACGACGAGGTCTGTTTGCTGGTTGCTAGTTTGACTCATCGGAACGGTGAAAGTGCTACTGCAATTGTTACTGCTGTTAGAGTTTATTTGTTTATTCTTGTGGACCATATGTAAGTGTATGCATATTATGTTTTTATGCATGTCTGTCTGCGTGAACTATGAATGTTGACAGCGTACTAAGGACCAAATCTGGTCGCTTACTTTGGTGCGTACGAAACCTTATATTTCTTGCAGTTTTTCATCAGTCTCACCGTTAACCTTTCTGAAACCCTCAAAATTGTCATGATATGATGGTTTTTAAGGTTTTCAGTGTTTTTTTGTGCTGTTGAGGAAGAAAATAATGAAAGTACTAATCGTCTCCAACCCATTTGGTTAAATATTTCTTTGAAAAAATTGGAAATATTAATGATAGCATAACACTAAATAAATAAGTAAAAAATATATATACGTTTTTTAATTTATTTACCTATTAATCTTTTCGTCTGCCTGTCTAGTTATATATATATTTGCTTACTTACTTGTCTATCTTCTTGTCTATCTGTCTAGTTATAAATAAACAAACATATATATATATATATATATATATAT